CCTCCCCTTCGCTTCCGGAGGCGTGCGTCGTCGCGGGGAACCCCTGGTGTGTGGCGGAATCCGCCTCTCGGGCCCCCCGCCGCGTTTTGCCGTGCGATTGGCAGGGGGCGGGGCCCCGCAGGAGGCCGTGCGTGGGGAGGGGAGGCGGATGCCGAGGGACAGGCGGCGGTGGTGGCGGCGGAGCGGTAAGTGGCGAAAAGTGAGGGAGAGTTCCGCGGGACTCGCGAGGGGAGATGAAATAAGCCAGGAATAAGCCTCGCCATAGTTGCCAATGGTCGTTGGTTGCTATTTGTGGGCAATTTTCATCTGTATTGCCAGTTGTTAAATTGGTCAAAGATACAAACGAACTATTTCATATCAACCAATCAAGAAGTGAGAAAGCTTGGCGAAATGTTCTGATGGCGTAACCTCTTTAATGTAATTCAACTATAATACTTTCTGTTTATTCTTTTGGTGGTATGCTTTTTAGGTAGAAATGCGACAGAGTGAGTAGAAATGGGATGGTGTATATGACGTTGACGACGGAGTGATAAAAGACGAAAAATGAGATGCAGTCCCTAGGTACTCACGACGGGAGATGAAATAAGCCAGGAATAAGCCTTGCGATAGTTGCCAATGGTCTTTGGTAGCTATTTCTGGGCAATATTCGTTCGTATTGCAAATTGTTAAATTGGTCAAAGATACAAACGAACTATTTCATATGATATCTATCGATCAGAAAGCGAGACAAAGCTTGGCGACATCAGATGGCGTAACCATTTTATCTCATTCAACTACAATGGTTTTTGCTTGTTATTTTCATGGTTAGGTAAAAATACGACAGAACAAAAGTAGACGGGATATGATGATGGTGACGAAACGATAAATGCCGAAGTGAGATGCAGTTCCGAGGTACACATGAGGGAGAGATTTAATAAGCGCCCAGTTCGTTGGCTTATGTCGAAGGCTTCTTTCGTCAGACATGCGAATGCTCGTGACTGACAGTACGACGCCAATTTGAAGATGCAGATGAAGACGTTTCGACCATTATGTCGTAGTCTTCTGAGCCTAATTGTAATTGCTACTGGTAGTCGGATGTCTGTATTGCGAATGGATTGTAAAAAATATGGAAAATCATCTGCGCGCAGTGTATTAATCCCAAAGATGCAAAAATCTACAAATTTGTAGAAAGAGCTGCCGCGGAGATAAAGGGATGGCATCCCAATTATTGATTATAACTTAGCAAAGTTTTTCCTCTTACTTGCCTAAACTATGAAACACTTTTTTAAAATAAATATAATTTCTAAATTAGACGAAGCTACGAGGCCATCATGGATATTAAGTTAAGTTAAACGTAACTATTTACTTTCAAACATATGTATTAGGCTTAAAATATATTTTTCAACATGTACGCAGAAGAGTTTGTCGTGCTTGTTTTCCAAGTGAGAACCAGCTTATTTTTTCACAGTGTGAAAAACACCGCGAGGGTGCGCAAAACATCTGTTACGATTCGCAATTGTCTTTCGCCTTGACGACGTCTGTGTTTATTATTTACAAACATTAGTCTTATGACTGACTGGAATCCACTTACTTTGTACAAGTAAAGTATTTCTAATTATTTGATATTTTATTTGTATTCCTTTACTTAAAGCACTGCGCTGCGCTCGCGGCGAGTTAAAAAATAGTAAACGCAACACGGGCGCGAGGTGATTCTCAAAGTCGTCTGTCGTTCTTGCGCTCGAACAACACGTGATCTGTTTCGTGCGTGAACCACCTGTTTCGCGCCCTTGTTACGTAAACAACCATTAACAATTTATTTCAGAATTTGAAAGCAAGAATTTATATTTTGTGTTTGAAGATGAATGTGTGGCAAACATGAAATGTAACATGTGCAAAATCAAGTTGAACATATGACGAACATGCCAGACAACATGAGATTGTGTGGGGAATATGTGGGGAGCAGGCAGAGGAAACTGCGCGGGGTAGAGCTTAAGTTCCTTTAGCAGTATTCTACAAAATGGGATTCTATTGAACCTTATGTTACATTTTTGAAGATTTTGTTTTCCGAGGTACCCCCATTTTGCAGCAGACTGATATGGTCAGAAATAAGCGAATACTCCAAATTTTGGTAAAGCTGAATTGGCATTTTATTGAATAGTACTCGTATATGAACATCATGACATACAAAGCATTAACAGGCAGATGAAGGAGTGTCCTCCGGAACAATCATTTACAAAGTGCTGAATGTTTGCACAGATCCACCTGGTAGCCACATTACTCTGCTACAAAAATTTTCTTTAACTAGGAGGCGAAAATGTCTATTTTAGAATGTTACTAATCATGCTTTGTTTTTACTTTTATTCATCATTCAAATATTTACATATCAAATATATACTGGCGTCTCAGGAACCGGAAGATTTTTAAAACATTACCAACGTTTAAGAAAAGTGTCTTTGATTTAGAAATATGTTATTTTATTTTATCTCGCTGTATACCTATTATAATAAAAAAATATAAAAATATTCAAAACAACAACATTCATAAATAAGGAAACTCTAGGATGAATTCTCCTAGTACGCACATTTTTTGTTACAGGAATTACACATAGGGTCTCTCGGATCAGAAGAGTTTTAGAACATTACGAACGGTTCAGAAACATATCTTGGATTTCGAAGTACGTATTTTATTTCACTGTTGAACACACTAAAGTAAACAATAAATAATTATCTTAAAAAATTAAAAATCATCAGATTTTTGTTTAAGGATACTCGTTTTCAAGTGTTGTCTGATTATTTACAAATGATTAGTAAACACGTTACACATTGCAATGAAATTTAAATATTATTCGTTCACATCATATCAAAAGATAAATCTTATTTGGATATTACTTTAAATTTTGTTTTTAACTGTACAAATTTCTCGGAACATTAAGCATACATCATGGATACAACAAGCACATAACTAACACTTCATCCTCGGCTAAGATCTGAGAACTGAGATTGAAAGAAGTATGCACGCAAGCTGACTGCGTAATTGAAATTTGCTAGAAAACCGAGATGGCAGCCTTTAAGAACTTTCACTATGTATGAATTTGAAACATCGGTGTATAATTTCATACTTTAAACAGGGATTTGATTTAATTTGATTTGATTTACTTCCTCAATGAACAGTACTAACTATTTGAGTCGTATAGGAGAGAAGTACTACAATCTGCGCAAGTTTTCTTGAGCTTTGGACTCCCTTCTCTACCTTTTGAACCTAAATATTTGAACGATGAATAAAAGTAACAACAAAGCATGATTAGTAACATTCTAAAATAGACATTTTCGCCTCCTAGTTAAAGAAAATTGTTTGTATTGGTAAAGGAACTACAGAACTAAGTTGTTACTATTTACTATAAAATATTAACCCCCGCTCCGGCTCCATTCCTGTCACAATTAGCTAAAGGAGAACCCAACTAAACGTGCACGCCGGGAAGATACATTTGTGTCCGCAAGAAAAACAAAGGGACATCTTAGCATTTACTCAATTTCCTCTTGAGACGGTGTTCCTTTCTCCGAAACGCCCCGAAGACCCTGTCACACAAACTAATATTCGAACAGGCAACAGACGACACAAACAGCTGGAGATCGTGCAAGCGATAAGATGCAGGGATTGTCAAAGAAACCCCCGTAGACATTGCCAGTCAAGATAACATTATTTCTTGTTCTAGAGTCATATCTCAAATGTCAACATCAGATATCTCTCTGACGCTCTCATCCACCATCATTGTTCCGCCTCTTTAGAGCTTATGGATAATGTGAATACGAATAGTTTAATTCTATTCTAGTAGACTACCAGATAAACATTTGCTGATTTTTTAAAATAATATCAATATAGAATTAATTATATGTGTATTATCACTAAAATGTTCCGTCTACAAAAGGTTGAAGGTTTAGTATTAAAGGCCACCATCATATTAGAAATCTTGAAACCTGTCGTATTGGTTCAATCTTGAGTTTCGTTTAAAGTATTTTGGAGTAATTCTTGAAATGTTTTAAGATTTCATCCCTTAATGTTAAAGTGATATCATCTGTAAATAACTTTCGTATACTTTCACTGGTCGATGGTCGTGGTTCGTGATATAATTTATGGCAATTAAGAATAGTAGTACACTAAGCCCAGATACTTGAGGCACTCCGTTATTACTTGTACATTTGTGCGATAAAATATTCTTGAATTTAACTTGGAGAGATCTATTCTTCATGAACGGATATAAGAACGTTAGTATTTGGTCATCCATCCCCAATTTGTAGAGAATTTTAATGATTCGATCTCTCCATACCATGTCGTAAGCGTTTTCCATGCCTAGGCAAACAGTCTAAACTAACTCTCTATTTAACTTATTATATTCAAGGTACCAGTTAAGTCTTTTTTTGGCATTTTTTCGAGTAATTTGAAGAGGGTAGACGATAAGGATATATGTCTGTAATTATTCGTGAATTACTAGAATAATTTTGTTGGATTATTCTATCCATTGTTATAATCGAACTAGTTTTCTTTGCGTGCATCGTTAAAGTTACTGTGACTTGAATTATTAGCAAATGTAGATGCTAAAATGTTTGCAACTTCTTCGTTAGAAGAGGTAATTTGATTGTTGTGCAACATAACTTGAGATTGTATGTACTGCTTGACAACAATTGATGGCTTTTATTTTTTCCAATTGTTTGTTTGGAAGAAAAACAATATCTTGATGAAATGAAACCAATCCAGGACTGTCTTTTCTGTTCTTCATATATTCGTCTTGCATTTTCCAGCGCTCTTTTATACTCATGATTTTTTGTGTCTGTACAATTTATGAGCATTTTTTCAGTCTTCATTCCACCAAGAGAATTGTTTCCTTACTGGTTTTTCTGACGATTTTGGAATCGTTTCACCGGCTATTTTGAAGATGAGATTAGTCGGTTACTCAATTATTTCATTGACGGAGACTGGAAAGTTTCTTCCAGTATTCTAATTTTATTTATTTTGTTGATAATATTTCCTTGTACGTATCAAAGTTAGCATCTTGGAATTTTCATATTGGAGAATAGTTAATGCAGGTAGTCACTGAGGTGTTATTATGGTTAGTTATGAAAAAGAGAAAATGATCACTTCCTTGTAGGTCCTCTATGGTACACCAGCCCCAATTAAAATCAACAGAAGATGAATACATTTTTATATCAATGGCACTGAACCTTTTATGTGTATTCTTAAGGTGATTGTATTGATTTTTGTTAAGAATCAATATATTTGGGTCTTCAAGTATTTTTTAATTTTCTTTCCTCTACTGACTTCTTTATAAGATCCCCACAGTAGGCTATGACTATTAAAATCCCCGACCATAATAAAGGGCTTAGGTAGCGGATCAATTGTTTTTATATTTCATTTTCTGTAAAGTTATAACTATTGGGAAGATAGATATTACAGATACTCAAATAATATCTCTCCAGGTTAATTTTAACTGCAGTACATTCCATATTGATGTTTCGTTGAATTTCATATGCTCCAAGAAGAGATCTGATAGAGCAATGCCTTCACTGGATATTCCTGAGTTATTTCTATTCCTTAGGTATACAGAATAATTTTATATTTGTGGTATCACTCTTTTTGGATTATTGGTTTCAGCATATTACTTCTAGATTGTATTTGTAAATTAGAATTAATAGATTTTCTCTTTGAGGCTTAAATCCATTATAATATGCTTTCAGTCATTGTTAATTAATATTTAGATTAAGAGGGTGAGATACTTTAGCTTGTATCACTACAGTACTCTGATTCATTGTTTTTAATGTATTATATAATAAATTTATTTTTTGATTTGTTAATCTTCTCTTCATATTGCTATCATTTAGTTTTGAATATGTACTTTCTAAAATTTGGATCAATTGAGTAACATTGGGAGTAAATTGTAGAGCTATTTCAAATACCTCAGTACTGTTTTCGGTTTTTTCAAGAAATCTCTTTATATTCATTAATTGGAGCTGATGTCAGCACTGGAGTTTGATTAAGTACTTGATTCTTCAGGAGGTGGTAGCACAGATTTTATTTTTTTACAAAGTCTGGTAAATCTTCTATTATTGTTTTAATTGAAAAGTGTGTGTACGGATTAGTCATCACTTGAATGAGGGTTGAAACATCACGTGAGTAATATTTGGCTATGAGGATGGGGTCAGCATCATTAAAAGAATTTTCCAGGAAGGATTTAAATTGAAGGTAGGCAAGAGTATATTTGCTTTGATTGATTTTAGAGGAGATATTAGTTCGTCTACAGATCTACTGTTAGTTATTTCAGTTTTCTCTGAATCATGTAGTTATATTTTCTTCTATTTCTTCCTAGGTTGTTTCAGGGTTTCTTCAGTATTTGCTTTTTTGTGGTACTTAAATATTGAGTATCATGGGAGGAGTCAGATGGGGGTCCTCTTTTCTCTAATTTAGATACACAAATATTGTCATTAGCAGGTTCCTCATGATTAACAGATCCAAGTTGTTTGTCAGTTGCAGGTGATATAGCTTGATGTCTTTATTTTTGGAAGTTAGGGGCAGTTATTTTATTAATTGAGAGAGCAGCAGTTGGAGAATTCTGTCGACGGGTAGTAAATACAGATTGATTTTCATTTGCAGGGGAATCAGTTTGGATAATTTTTGTGGAGGTTAAGAAAATTCTTGTTGTCATTAATTGAGGGCTTAGGTTGAAGAATTCTATACATTGATAGTAGGTGCAGCTCGGTTTCCATTCGAAGGAAAGTCACTGTCATCGGCATGGTTTTAGTGAGAGGGACATTGGTTAGCAATGTGGCCTTCTTCCTTGCGTAGGAAACATACAACATTGTCAGTGGAAAAGTAAATACGGTATGTAGTGTCTTAATGGTATACCAGTGCAGAACACGGTATCTTGTCAATATCATCCGGATCAATATAACCAGGGTCATAGATCTTGTTTTCGCTCTGATAAACGACCTCTTAGTGGAAGGTTTGATGTTATTTTTATTTAATATGCTCGTGATTAACTTATTAGATATAACAGGAAACACATTAGAGATAACTTGTACTTGTTTATTGATGAGTGGTCGAAAATTCAGTTTTTGATTATTAATACTGTTACATTTGTGTGTGTTCACAATGTGTTCAGCAATCTTTTGAGTTGAGAGGAAGAGACAGATTCTGTTATTAGAAATTTTTGAAACATAACCAATATCTGAGGGGTTAACTATGGTAACAATTTTAGATTCATAATCCTTGAGGCTAATATCTTCTTGTGCTTCAACCACAATTGCTTGGCTTTTGTAAGGAACAATTTCAAATTATGCAGTAAGAGGAAAGGTTTTACTTACTTGTACTGTAGCTGAGGTTTCTGAGGTTATGTTGCCATTGGTGGTAGTTTCCGTCGTGGTACGATGCCAGACGCTGGGGCGTCTGCCTTTTGAATATCAACTGCGTTTTGTGGTTTAATCGATGAAGAATATAAACACTCAGAAGGATGAATATGAAGGATGAAGGTGGGGCGTGACGGATTGTGGGGCGGTGTGGCGGGGGGCAGGACTTGGCGAAACGCAGGGTAGCGTGGTGGGATATGGCGCGACGTGGCGTGGCGAGAGGTGGACGGGCGGGGGCAGGGTGGGGCGTAGCGTGGCGGGGGGTTGCATGGGTGGCGGGGCGCGGCGCGGGGAGGCGAAGCGAGGAATGGGAGTAAAGGTGGACGGGCGGGCAGGGGGGGCGTAGCGTGGCGGATATGCGGGGCGGGGCGCGGGGAGGCTGAAGCGAGGCGTGGCGGGGTGTGTGACGCGACGTTGCGGTAGCAAGCGCGTGAGGAGTAGTTGTTGCGGGCGGTGCGCTAGGTAAGGTGAGCGACCGGTCGGAGAGCTGTCGCGGTGCGGGGGTGCGTGGCGGGGCGCGGAGAGGCGAGTGAGGGCGTGGCTTGGCGGAGGGTGGCGTGGGAGCTGGACGGGGGGGCAGGGTGGGGAGGAGCGTGTGGGGCATGGCGTGGGTAAGCGGGGTTGCGTGGGTGGCGGGGGCAGGGCGCGGGAGGCAAGTGAGGGGCGTACGCTTGGCTGAGGGTGGCGGTGGGGCGGGGTATGGCGCGACGTGGCGTGGCGGGCCCGTGGAAGGGCGGGGCATGGCGTGGTGCGGGGCAGGGCGCGGGAGGCGAAGTGGAGGGCGTGGCTTGGGCGGAGGGTGGCGTGGCGGGGTATGGCGCGACGTGGCGTGGCGGGCCGTGGACGGGCGGGGCAATGGCGTGGTGGCGGGGCAGGGCCGGGGAGGCGAAAGCGAGGGTGCGTGGCTTGCTGAGGGTGGTCGTGCGGGGTATGGCGCGACGTGGGTGGCGGCCGTGGACGGGCGGGGCATGGCGTGGGTGGCGGGGGCGGGCGCGGGGAGGCGAAGCGAGGGCGTGGCTGGCGGAGGGCGGCGTGGGGCGGAGGCGGCGTCGCGACGCGCGCCTCTTCCGCGCACTAAAGCCTATTTGCGGCGCGCGGCGGGGCGCCGCGGCGCGTCGAGGGCGTCGCAATCCAATCATCGCGCGCGCTCATCAGTTCGGCGCGCGCGGCGGTCTCGTCGCGTCGCCTGCCAGCGGAGGCTCTGCTTCGGAATCCGCGCCGCGGGGCGGCGGCCGGCGGTGGCGGCTGCGGCGGAAGCGGGGTGGCCGGCGGAGGGAAATTTGCACTTGGTGGCAGTGGTTGAATTGCTTGTGGCAATGCTGGTGGTTGGGGTGAAGATGGAGTTGCAGGTGATTGTAGTGGCGTGGGAGGGGTGGGTGAAGGCCAGGGCCAGATTCAGCCGATAATTTTGGACGGGGCCATCATAGAAATTTTGTTAAATAATAAACATTGTTATTATATTGTATATTTTTTGTAGTGCATTTATGATACTATGTAATATTGTTTTTTAATATTTACCTAATATAAATAAAAATTTAAAACAATTTTGACAAATAAAAAAGTAGCAAATCAAGGCCTTTTGTGTGTGTGTAGGGGGGGGGGCAAGGCCCCCCTTTGGATCCAACAGTGATGAGGGCAAGGTGGAAGCAATTGTGGTAGTGGTGATATTGAAGACGGTAGTATTGGTGATGTGGATGGTGTGCCACGGGGTGGGTGAAGGAAAGGATAATATCAATGATGATGGTGATGAGTAAATTTGTGGTGGTGGTTGTGGTAAGGGAGGGATTACAATAAATTTCATTTCCAAATACATAGTTTAGTGGGGGTGGCGCGGGTGTTCACACGTAGTCACAGTTCTCGTTTTGTGGGTTCTTTATATCAGAAAAGTTTTCCACGAAACGTTGTTCGTCTGTGTTAACCCGGTTAGTGCCTAAATGAAAGATTTTCAAGATTGATATTCCGCAATCGATCTAACTGGTGTCGCAAATCATCGAATTTGAAAGGGATACTTGAATTTTTGGTAGTATATTGCAAATAACCCCAACGATTTTCGATTTTTTTCAAAGATCCAAATTTTGTGTTCGATTGCATGAAATTACTCTTTTAAATTGACGTACGATCGATTTTAATTAAAAACATTCTTTCTGAAAACAATACTAGCATGTGCTGCTAGCACCACTTTTTTTTTGAGTGATGGCTGACTCAAGTAAGAGGCTAGTAAGTGCACCGTGTTCTGTTACATCACAGAAATAATGCAAGGGGCCGTATTAAAACACGCCGTAAAAAAATGGTGAAAACATACAGCCAAATTCTGATCAATAAAGAATGAGCTCATCTTGCAATCCATTAAACTTTGTATCAGTATTAACATTCATTACGCCCTGGTTCGTTTAAATTTCTAACAGAAATTACACTCAAAGAAAATTATATCATTTTTTCATTTGGCGAGCCACACTATCAAGAGCCACAACGAACTACGTCTTCTTAGTAAGAGTTTTTGTCGAAGAAAAAAATATATACAAACTGAAGTACCACAATACTTGAAACTGCCTCATTCTATGTGCAGTCGTTTAGTCAAATACATCTCGGTGAAAACTTATACATAAATTGATCTGGAAGAGAATATATTCAAATATTGATGTAAGACGGCTCCACACATTCCACATTCGCGAAGCAGCGAGCTACTGCTCGTCCAATGCCGAACAGGTGATGTGTTCGGCGAATGTTCGTTTCCTTTGATGTGTTCAAATAGCCTACAACCGGTGGATAGGGCGGGCACCGAATGTTCGTCTCCCGGTAAATGGCACGCCACTCATCCACGCCAATCGCGATTCGGTGAGCAGTCTCTCGCTTTTTGCCGAATACCGAATGTGTGAACACGCCTTAACACTAGTAAATACCATACCTTAGCTTTGTATGGCGCCTCCCGCTGGTATTTTCATGTTAAAAAGTTTTATTTCTGTTTTGAAAGTTCATGATAAATAATATATAGGCTGGATGAAAAGTAATAAGAATATTAATGTAACTTAAAGCAAGTGATTCGGCGAGCTGCCGTCTTTCGTGATAAAAGGAAGGACTGTTAGAGAAGAGTGTGTGCAGCGAGGGGGAACAGTACAATACTTTGTCAGTACACAGTAGTGCATAATTCTATGAATTTCACAGGAATAGTGCAAGCGCCCTGACGCCATGTTTATAAAGGTAGAACAAGAGTTTGTGACTCAAAATTGAAGTGGACGAGGACGGAGTTAGCAAGAAAGTTTACATGGTCTGTGTGTAGCATGTGGTAATGCAGCGTTTGCATACTCAAGACGCGCGATGTGTTAAAACGTTCAGATTAGCTAGAGATGCTGTGAAGGATAACCTCGTACTAAAGGATAACCCACACGTGGAGAACTCTTACGCCACTAGCAATGGGAGATTCTGGAACGTCCAACTTATTCACCCGATATGAGTCTCAGTGATTATGATCACTTCAGAAAAAAAGAGCCACGGTGAGGAATTCCGAACAATATTTGAGAGCCTATACCAGATACCTATTAACATAAAAATTGCATCGTCTACTATTAATTTTTCTCAAATTAAAGTACTTAAAATTCATAATTTCTTACAAATATATTGCTACCATTGCATCTCTGGAAATTGAAGTTTCAATCGACAGCATTAAGTTGTTTTGACTTTCTGAACCAAATAACATAATGATAATTCAAAAATATGAACTTTTTCGACAGATGATTTAATTTTCGCCTTTGTAGAGCAAACAAGTGCTTTCCGCCGAACGCGAAATTGTGGGTAGAACTTTCTTGTAATATAAGTTTTAGTTGAAAATGGTGAATGTGGCGTGAAAATAATGGAGAGCCGTAGCATATATTACAATACCAACTGCATCATCATTTATTAGTAATACAGCTGAGGAGTGTTGCAAGGTTGCAAAGAAGCCGAGAGTGAGCAATACCAATAAATTTAAGACCTCAAAGATACTGGTTGTATTCTACTTCTTTCCTTACAATCACAGTCAATTCTTACTATCTGACTAGGTAAACTTCTTTCTTGTAATGAGCGGGGCAGCACCGTTGCTAGAGAGTGAATTGGAAGCAGAAAAGAAATCGACCAAAATACAGGTAACATCTCAGACCAATAACAAAATACCCTGGTTTGAGTCGAATCTACAGTTACCTCAAAAATTTATTCCTCACACAATGTCATTTATTAGAAATATCCCAAACCACCTATATTCATACATCAAGTAAATCGAGCACCTATTTCAACTCAACCTTGCTCGAATCACACGTTCCCGGATAAGAATTAAAAACAGGTTCCTGGAACACGCACTTTTGAACACTGAGTCCAAAATAAGAATTAGTATGGCGCTTTATAAACTTCCTTAATCATGTTCAGTCAGAGTTAGTATCAAGATAGTAGATAAGGTTACAGCTGGAAAAATTTATTGTGCAAAATATTGCAGTACTATCCTACGAACCTTGTTGCCTCCTCGTACTCCCCTAGTACGGCACCACACCAATCGGAACAAGTTCTAGGCCCGACTGGTCTCCCGGCAGGTGTGGTAGTGCATGTAAGTGTAAATGTAAGGGAGAGGAGAGGCTAGGACAAGAAAGAGGGAGAAAAGATCGCGCGCGGTTGTTGGCCTGTGTATTAGAGCATTCGGACTCAGACATTCACCTGGTGTTGATCGTAGAAACCAGGAAAAATTACTAATCAGAGCCACCGACTCCTAGATTTGACTTCCAAACAGCGGCTGATTTCAATCTAGCTATCTAGCTAGTTAAACCTGATTAAATGGACACCTCCATTAAGCGATTAAGCTCCATTAACAGCCTGTACCGCTTGATTTTTGTTTCATATACTAATTCTTTTCATAATATTTTTTCTTTAATATGGTCACCTAGCCAGTAGGTCAGCCGCAAGGCACACTTCGTAAATTATCTTTTATTACACCGTAAACTTTATCGACCTTGATCTGCAGTAGAATAACAAGCTGAAGACAGGAGGATATTACTATTAATTATATTTCTTCCTGAGACGGAATACATTATGTAATTATTTAGTGCAACAGTAATATCAAGATTCGCTTATCTTGAAGCGGATTAATAATTTTGTTTCAAATAAAAAAGTTGATTTTAATGTATTTTTAAGAAATACGTCAATTCGAATCCAACTTTCTCGTAATGTTTGCAAGCTCTGTTTTTCCTCAGTTCCCATAGAAACTCTTCATTTTATGTAATTAAAAACATTTAAAAGGAAACACTTTATTTCGTAGTACATTGAGAAATGATGTGCGTTTCCTATGACCTCACCACTTTGATTAAGACGTCATCTCAATAATGGCCAATTTTCTTTGAAACCATATGTGCCACCTAAGACAAGTTTTATTTATCTGCTTCCATCGTTGGAGTACTGTAGATTAAGTGACAACACATAAAACCAATTAAGACATTTTTAGAAAGCAAATTTACTTATTCCTCTTAACTGCATAAACGGTTGGAGGCATTGCAGGACTTTCCTTAATCTCAGTAACATACTAGATTTAACATATCCAAACAATTTACATTGCTTCGCAAAATTATTTCGACCGCTTGTTAGCCATTGAGTGTAACCACAATTAACTGATCTACAAACTCTTCTGCACATAATAATACAAAACACAATCTTTCAATGCAATACAATGGTCATAAAAATGGTTTTGAAGTATTGAAAGAACAATGCTTCTTTAAGCAGGAAGTAATCAAGTGTTCTGTGTTAAAAAGTAAATATCGCAGCACCGCAGATGTCACATGATGCAGAATCACCAAAGACAAAAATATCAACAAAAACATTACATCGTGTCACTAAATGATTACATCGGCTTCTCAGGCATTGTCTGTAACCAACATTAATAATTAAGAGGTTTTTCTTACTATCTCTCACCTCATACAGAGCAAGATCTTTCAATGCTATACTAGGATCATAAAAATGGTATTCAAGTACTGAAAGAGCCATAAACTTCTTTGAGCAGGACGTGAACAAGAGCTCCCATTACAAAGTAAATCTCGCGGCACCGTTGATATCTGATGACGCAGATTCACCACACGATGTTCACGTGCCGGCACTGGTATTTTAACGCTGGGGAATCACTTCGCTAGGT